ATAATGAATTCCACAGGGCAGCGCCAGTCGAAATAATCTTGAGTGCGGACGTTTACTCCCGGCTCAAGTTGCCCGGGTTACAACCAGCAGCAATGGGCCAACTCATCGCCCAAAATACGCCACTGGGATATATAATATCCGGTGTCGTATAATATCGCTACCATAAAGTACACTGGCTGCCAACATCTCTCACATTTACCGCCTACCCAGGATCGAGTTAGACTCGAGTCGTCGCGCCGACCTCGGAAGGCTGTGACTTCTATGCAAATTGGCGGCATGGCAATGACCGACTGCGATTCGATTCATCTCAGCGGCATTTCCCGGACCGAACTTGACTCGATTCGTCTCGTCGGCTACCCCATCTGCAAAGAAGACGTGGAAGAGGAAGTGCAGGAGCCAGTTAGTTAAGTTAGTTTTAAGTAATCTATTGTAAACTGCATTTGCAGTAATACTGCAAGGCGGGGAGAATGTTGACGCCGCCCCCGCCCAATTTCTTTTGCCACGTCTGTATCGGCAGAAAAAATATATTTTCTTTTCCTCCTTTTCAAATTTTTTTCGAAGTTTTAATTCGCGCGCAACTAAACAATAACTAAAAAGTTGCGCGCTTTCTCCTTTTGCGACCGCTAAGCGATACAGACGTGGTAAGTGTGTTTCCAATTTATTATATTTAAATATGTTCATTATAATAAACCTTTTGTTTTTTATTTAACATTTGTGGAATAACTTGCGCCGTTTGTTTGTGTAGGTTTTTCCAACCGGTACTTTCTTCTTATTTAGCCAACGGCTTTTATTTAACACTTTGTCACCACTTATGTTTACAATTTTTTTTTTGTCACTAACGGCCTTATGGTTTTGCTAACTTTGTCACCACCGTTCTTTACACAATTTTTCACCGTTTTTCAACGCCTTTTTGTTTGTTTTTATTTGTCACCACCGTTTTCCTTAGTTTTTTTTTTTGTTAATCTTGTTAAATTTTAAATTAAACAATTGTGTACACATACATATGTATAATATGCTTTTTTTCATATGTGCATGTATATTTTTTATGCACTTCACAAAATTTTTTAATTTTTTTTTTTTTAATTTTTTTTATCACTAGTGCTCGAAGGACCATATATAAAGTATTGAAAACACTACCGGCACTCACCTTTTTTCCTCGAAAGGTACATATGTTGATCGGCGATCGGGATATTATAGCGTGTATGCGCACGGATTTTGTTAATTGTGTGCTGGTGTCCTTGTGTGTGGTGTGAGAGGTGTGGTGTAGATGATGATGCGTTGAGTTGTTATGTAGTGGTGGGATGAAAGGATGATATGTGGAGTATGGTGTGTATGTGTTGGGTGTAGTACTATTATTATAGGAGGGGGTCAGATGCTCATTTAGCCAACACTATTGTGATGAAATTGAAAAGTGAAACAATTCTTCTTCAGCAAATAAAAATATGGAAAAAAATTAAAACAATAGAAAAAACACTGCATTAATTCAAGAATAAGCAAAAATTTTCCGTAGAATAAAAGAAAAGAAAAGCGCCACAGAATACAAGTTCAAAATTTGAAAAGACGAACATTCAGCAAAGACAGGAATAACAACAACAGGAGTAGCAGCAAAGACAACAAAAACAACAACAGGAGCAGCAGCAAAGAAAATAAGAGCAATAACACGAGTAGCAGCAAAGACAACAATAGCAACAATAGGAGTGGCAGCAAAAGCAACGATAACAGTAACAGTAGCAACAATCAATATTATCAACAAAGTCAGCAATAACAACAGCAAGGTACGAAAATACTAATACATGCAAATAAAATGGGCTTAGATCAGTGGCGCTCATTTAATAACAACGCAATAAAAATCCAAACACGCGTGTTTGACTTATAATTCTGCTACTGCGAAAAATATCACACGCACACGAAAGCGGCTGAACACGTACGCTAGGTCAACACAAAGAATCGGCATTTAGTACATTGACAGAAACACCTCGAATTTTTAAAATGTTTTTAAGCGAATGGCAAGAAAATTATTTTTTATTGAAACTGATGAAGGGGAATTTTCCATTTTCAAATTAATTCAAAATAAGCAAAGAAACACGCTTTCTGACCAACATCTTACCAATCTTCTACGCATTAATGAGTATAAAGGGGAAATCWATATTGATGATGTATCATCGAAACGAGCCATTTAGTCAACGACTTTATAAATTTTCAAGTATTACAGAAAAAGAATTCAATAAACTTTTCTGATATTTTTTCCAAATTTGCCAATAATTTTTTTCCCTGAATGTAAAAAAAAATATATTGTAGAAATTTGTTCAGCGTACATGGCAGCGAAAATCTTTAGCAATGTCTGTGCAGCGCAAACGTAAAATGTAATAATATTGAGGCGTGCGCACCACTGGCTTAGATATCATGCTTAGAATCTTTAACACAAATAACTGCGCAAAATGGAGCAAAAAACCAGTTGTCAATTAGGCAAAGAAGAGAAAAGGATTTACAATATTTAGCTTCCTACGAAGGGAATGTAAAAATATTGTCGGATGGTAATGTTTTTTGTTTGAGGCAATTGACAGAGAAAGGAAATATTAGGACAGGAAGAAATATTTTTTAAGGCTGATCTATGATTTAAAAATCGGTGGTTCAGCAAAAAATTGCAAACAACCCCACCTCAAGATAGGGTAAGTTGTAAAGCTAAGCTAAAGCAGCATTACATTACAACAAAAGATCAAATGACGATCACAAAAGTAATTTCCCAGTTAGGGTAAACAGTATAGTGGCATTAAGTAGAAGAGTAAAAAAATGGTGACACAACGAAAAAAAATATTTCGGAAATGCTAATTCAGCGAATAAAACAATTAGCAGCAGGGCAATTCGCATATACAGTTATATGCAATTACTGGCATCATTGACATACATGACAAATGAAGTTTATTAATTTAATGGTTTGGATGAAGGAAATCTAAATGCTCATTTAAAATTAAAGGCAACCAAATTTTAATAACAGAAATAATGGTGTTAACAATAAAAATTTTCATTCGGGACAGCGGGAACAGACCACTTATCAAAACAGGCCGCTTTCGGGGCAATATCGTTGGAATATGTGGGTGCCCAACTTAGTGGGAATCACACCCTTATGTCACTTACACTCGGGTTATTTTCTACCTATGTGAGTGAAAATGCGGTGGATCTGAATTATGTTATATGAACATTTTATTTTTTATTACAAACTATTTTAATGGCATATAAATAAACGGGCCAAAGGGTAATGAAGCGATTTGTCGATTGGTAGTTAATAAGTTAATTGCAGCGCGCGAGGTTGGTGACGGGAAATCGTATGTTGATGCGCTGGCTGTATTTGACGAATTGTGTTTGCCATCCTTTTTGTGTAGTGGGTAGGGGTAAGGGTGTGGTAAGTTGTGTTGGTGTTGTGTTATGATGGATGAGTACGGTGTCATCGGATGTGGTGTATTGTGCAATGTTTCCTTAGTGTGCGCCAGTTTTTCCCGGGTAGAACAGGGGGATGCTTAACTCATTTAAACATGCTCCACAAAATCAAAATGAGTTCTTATGAACAACGATATAACCAAAAAAGACAGCAAAGTCGCCAAAATTATTCAAGGCAAATTCAAGCTAATTAAAATAATTTTAGTTACTCGAGACAGCAAGGAACTTCGGGAAATAGTAGACAACAATTACAAAGAGGACCTGAACTCACGGATGTGAACACAATGAGTAGAAGAAGTGATCTACAAGAATCCAATACAAACGAGGAGCTTTTTACAAACTATCCTCGGAATCTTGGGAAAATGAAATTTTATTAGTCCTTGTCCAAAGGAATTCAAATATCCGGAAAACATCAGAATGAGATGGTTACTAATGGATCTTAATGAACCATATGATTTATTAATAGGAAGTTATTTCATTTTTAAAACTGTTAAAACAATTTATGTCGAAAATATGACAGTAAAAAAACTTATTTATTGGATATAAGCGAAGTAAGAACATCAAGCTGGTTCATTTAATATTAAATAAGAGGAGAAAAGTTGAAAACTTTTAATAAACTTACTTATAAAGAAGGGGTCATGCTTACAAGTACAAAAGCAGTGATGCACGAATTAAAAACTGTAACGGATCAACAAATAAATTAAAGAATATATATATTAACTCCCAGATATGAAGAGTATGTAAGACGACAAATTTGTGAATTAGAAGAGCAAGGAATAATTAGAAAAAGTCACAGAAGATATAGCTCACTAATCTTAACAGGTGGGGAATGTTGGGCACATGGGGAATCCCCGATATTTTTTCCCCTAGT